TGTCAACTTTCGCGGTTTGCAGCTCTTGCCATGTTCTACATGACATGCCGCCCCAACGGCAAGCACAGAGATGAGATCGGATGGATGGTTCAGTTGAACAGAGCCGCCTTGGCCATTCTGATATGCTTGGGCGAGTGGCGTCAGAAGTGTACCAAGTTGCAAGAGCTACTGTATGGGGCAAACTGGTGGCCAGCCGCGCCTACCCTAGGCAAGAACGCCGCCCTCACAGCAGCGATGTGTTTCAAGTTTGCTTAACGAAAGCTGCTCCCTTCTTGCCTTTGGATTGGGCAGCGCAGCGGCAGCGCATGGCAGCCACGCCAGACGGGGATTCACTGCAGAACCGGAGCATAGTGTGCAGCGCATGACTGCAACACAAGCTGGGCGTTTTGTCTGGTATTCGATCCGCACACTCCTTCAGGTTGTAAAGCGGAAAAAACGTTGTTACCACGAGCCAGAGTTGCAAAGCGCACCTCCTGAAAAGTTGCGAATTTCGAGCGGGAGCTGCCAAATGTGCTTCCTTTACAACACTTGTACTCAGGAGTGCTGAGAAGTCGCGACTTCCGAGCTGGAGCTGCCAAAGTGTACGTTCTTCAACACGCTTGTACTGAAAACTCGTGACTTTCGAGCCGGAGCTGCCACGGGGCACCTCCTTTGCTACACTTCCTTTACTACAATTCAAAAGTTGCGACTTCCGAGCTGGAGTTGCGAGCCGCCAATCTCGAGCCAGGAGCTGCACAGCGCGCGCGCTTCCTTTGCTACACTTGTGACACGTCAGCCTGCTGCAACGCAGGCGAAATGTCCTACGTTGAGCTGGAACTGGCTACTGGAGCACAAAGCGCTGTAAAACGACAACGAGCTAAAAACTCATAGGGGCCACGCAGATACACAACCCAAAAGATTCCGAGAGAATCCCCAACGACATGACTACAAGGACACTCTAACTGCCAGCCTTCCACGAAAACAGTCTTCAACACATGTTCAAAACCCCATCCCCAAACATTATATCCTCACGAACAAAGCATTCGCAAAGACATGCCCAAAAGCGTATCCGAAGACATTCCAGCAAGTGCCCCAAAATAGCCCCAAAGACAGCCTCAAAGACATCCCCGAAACGTTCCTAAAAACCCGGCGGAGGATGTCCTCGAAAATATGTCCAAAGACATTGTCCAGAGAGAAATCCCCTCCGCCCTCAAAAAAGCAACGACGTCCTCCAAAGACAATCCACCAAAGAAGCTTTCCGGAGACACTCTCCAAGACTCTTCCGAGACATGCGCCGAAGATACCCGCAATGACAACAAACCTCAGCAGATGCCACCAGCGAACCGCAAAAACATCCCTAAATACAACCACAAGACAACCCCAAAGACATCGCTCAAAAGACACCGCCCAAAGAAATCCCCCAACAGACCTTCCAAAGACATCGTCATCCCAGTCAAAGACGTCCCCAAACACATCCGCGAGAGAAACGCAAAGGCAGCCCCGAATAGTCCCCCCTGAACACGTCCCCAGGAGCTTGCAAACACAGCCCCATAGCCATCCACGAAGACGTCGCCCTAAAACAACACAAACATCCCCCACCACAACTTGGGTAAAAATCCCGAGGGACATCACCCAAGACAGCCGCAAAGACGTCCCAAAAGACACCCTCGAAGACATCCTCCACACACATCCGCCCAAAACACCCTCGAAAGACATTTTCAAAGACATTTTGCAAGACGACCGCAAAGACGCTCCAAAAGAAACCCCCAAGAACATTCCCAAAAAGCAAGCCGCAATGAAATCTTCTAAGACACCCTGAAAAACATCCCCCGCAGATATCCCCCCAAGACCCCTTCCAGAGACGGATCCACAGACACCCTCGGAAGAGATCCCCGCAAGGACGCCACAATCATCAATTCATCCCCTATGACAGCCCCAAACAAATTACCCAGAACAACCTGCCCCAAGGCACGCCACAACACAGGAAGACCTTCGCAAGGACATCACCCAAGACAACCTCCCCAAGACGAGACATCCCCAAAAGCACCCCCAAAAACATTTGCAAAGACATCCCCAAAGACACACCCCGCCAAGACATCTACAAAGTCTTCCCCGAAGACAATCGCAAAGACAACCCCAAAAGCGCCGAAGACGTCCCCCAAAGACATCCGCCAAAGACACCCCCTTCACCCCAAAGACATCATCGAAGACATTTGCATCCCCAAAGCAACCCGCAAAGAAATCTTAAAGACAAACCGAAGCAGCTTTTCAAGGCACTCCAAACACAATCCCCCAACACACGCTCGCAACATCCCCAAAGCCATCCTAAAAGACCGCGCAGGACAACTGCAAAAACAACCCCAAAGACACCCTCAAACACATTGCCTTAAAGACATCCACCCAAGACACTCTCGGAAGACATCCCCAAAGTCATCCTCAAAAGACATCCTCAAAGACACGATCTCTGCCTCTAAAGTTCTGCGCCTGCCACGAATTCTACACCCAAGCGCCAAAGTACTGAGCCTGGACGAGAAGCTGCAAAGTACCGCGCCTCTCATGAAAATTGAACCAAAAGTTCTAAAGTGCTGCGCCTGTCACGCAAAGTAAGCCTGCCACAAACTCCAAATCCTCCAAAGTCCCGCGCCTGGCGCGTTTACGACTCGCATCCAAAACTAGCACAGGACTGTGGCCAGAATGATATCCACCGATATTGACGCGTTTCAAGCTGTTGACGCGTTTCAAGCGCACCCAAACGAGCCGATTGCACGCCAGACACGCACCTGCCTATCACGACATCTCAAACCGACCACGCCTGAAGCGCAAATCACAACGGCGCGGCAATGCAAACGAACAACCTTCCAAAACACTGTGCTTGCGCAGCAAAACAACCCTCAACGTCGCAAAAGACACGATTCACGCACAGGCATAACGCATTCAACACTCCAAGACGCATTAAAAGGTCACTTTCTGTGGGAATCCCCATGGCCAGGCTAGCGCGACACTCGCGAACACATCGCGGACGCTTCGCGGACTTGCGAACGTAAACGCGCAAATTTGGGTCACGTCTCAACCCCCAGACCCCCAACCTCTAAAAGGAAACCCTTCGCTACACCTTCGGGGAGAAAAACGATACCCCCAGAAAAGCAACTCTGAACGACCTCGATTGCTGACGGCCGAGTTGGGAGTTGAGTGAAAGTTAAGTAGCTACGCCTGACCCAGAGAAGCAGGCTTAGATGTTCTGGCCCAAGCAGCCACTCACCCTATGTGGGCACCCACAAAATGCACTTGCAGGCATGCCTTGGCCAGCTTGGCTAGTGTTGATGTTCTTTTGTAGCGCAACCCCGGGCCAACAGACCCGACTCGTTGTCTGGATGTGTCTTGGGATTCAAAATTCGAAGGTGTGCGCCCTGCCTTTTTGCGCCGTGAAGCTGTTGTTTCGCTGCATTTGTCCTGAAGCGGTGTTAACAGCTCAGTGTGCCAGGGGATATGATTGGACCAGCCATGGCATTGCAGAAGTATGGCAGGGCAAGCACCTTTACGGCAAAGTGCGTGCCTCAAATTTTAATTGGAGTGCAGTATGATCAGCAAAGTGGAGCTAGTCAGTTGCCCTGCAGGGCCGTTTGTGCTGCATTTTTCAGAATTTGGTGGACATCTTTGAACATTCTGATCTAGACTTCACCACACGTTTACCTTTTGAGCTGTTGTGCTGCGTCCAGTCCGGCTTCGTGCCAGCTGCAGCAAAACTGCACGTACAAGACATTTGTAGGATGACAAGATTCATCGGTCCACGCGATAAATCAGCCAAGGAATCGGCCAACCACGCATGCCAAGAGCTCTTGCGACACTGTCAGCGCAGTTGTCCTGCTTCCCTTTGGTTTCGTGGATGCATGATGAGTACCACTAGCGCTCCTCTTTCCCTTGTTCATGGCAGATCGATTTGGGCGATGCTTGAAGTACCCTTTTCGCGCTCTGAATGACACACATGACATCAAATTTGGGTGAGAGCGGTTGAATTCTTTCTTGGCGACCTTTTGGTGTGTAGGATGTAGGTGGACTGTAAAACCCTGGGCCATTCCTGGAGGGCAAAAGGGCAAACAAAGGGACCCAACTTCTAAAAAATGAAGCTGATGTTCAAGATGCAGTAGTTTATTTGTTCCGGAGTTTCTTAAGAATTGAATTGAAAGGCCCGCGGATGCAATTTCAGAAGAGTTCTGCGTCTTCTGCATCACCTCTCACACTTCAGGAAAGAGGTGATGAACGAATACTGGGGACTGAAATACTCGCTCTGGGCGTCCTGGACCCTGGTCCCTTGGGCTATCGGAAGCAGAGGGGTAACGAAAATCAAAGCATCATTGACTGTTGGCAAAGCCTATTGAAAACACACTCCTTTGAGGGCCTGTGCCAGTGTAGAACTCTTTACCGTTTAGGTTGCTGCTTCTGACCTGCTTGTTTCTTTGTTTGCCTGCATTTTCCTTTGCAATCGCGTTTGCGATTGTAGGCAAGTAGTTGGATTGACAACATGGGTCACTGTCTCATCTTTGGCTGCGGCCCACCTATTCCTGATGCCTTCATTGCCCCGTTCTTGTGTGTCGATCCGCCCGCTGTCAGAGTGGATTTGGGACGCAAATGATTTCTTGATCGAGCGGCATGCGTGGTGCCTGGCCATTGTCTGGAGTTCAAAAGGGTTGGTGGGCGCACGGGCAACGCTCGCATGGCGTACAGATTCACAATTGAAATCCTGGACATTGGATAAATTTTAGCCAGGGACAGCTTTTAGTATGGCAGCCTGGCGGCCCCCCGACCTTTGGCCGTGCGCATAGGTCCAGACAAGCCGCATGTTTCAAGCTCGAGGCAGGCAAAAGGTGAGCGGCCGAATGCGCGAAGCTTCAAACCACGCATCCAACTTCATCGCAAGTTCCAGAATGGCTCAAAGCCCAGCACAAAGTAAGCGTAGATGGGCCTCACCTTTCGATCATCCAGCCAAAAGATTGCAACAGTTCGACTCGACTTGTATCGCTTGGGTTTTCGCAAGTTGTGACAGCATCCCATCCTACAATCCTGCCCCGCGGTCCGGGTGTCAAGATTCTGGGAGGCTGGGGACATGGAGCACTTACGTGAGGTGGCGCAAAAATCGTTGCCGGCCAGGCTATGGAGCTAGGAGCATTAGAAGGCCAGGCTTGCCAGAGTACTTATTCGACTTCTGTGCGTGCCTCTTTGTTTTTCTCCGTCTCGTTGCGTTTGGATTGTGCAAGATGTGTAGGGCCTAAGGGTGTATGTGAATGGCACTGGACATTTGTTTGCTTACGTTCTCTTTGGGGAAACGCGTTACATCCGGACAATTCTGCGCTGTCCCATTGGTGTCGGGAGCTCGGCCGTGCGCGCAAAGTTTTGTCGCAGGATCCGATCACCGGCTCTTTGTTCGAAATACCTTCCTGGAAGTACAGGACTGCTCGGGCGAGGGCTGATGTGGCAGGGCCATGCAGCATTTCAGGAACCTTGCTTCTTTTCGTGGTGAAGCGGCGGAACAATGAAGACGTGCCGCAACACAAGGAACAGTTGACCAAAGTGTTTTGCTGCCTATTTGGCGTCCTGCGGAAATGATGCAAACACTGATGTAAATGCCTGTGGTGCGTTTGATCGCTTTTGGGCTTTTGCTCATTGCGAGGCAGAGGTGGACCTCAACGAGAGGCAGCTGTTGAAACGGTCAAACAGCGGCTTGCTGCAACTTGAAGCGGCCATGTGCATTGATGTTCCTCGCATTTGTGTGAACGTTGTGGTTGCTGAAGGCCGAACTTGGCTGAGGCTGGAGCGCTTCCTCGAGCAGCTCCATGAGCTCCGCTTCTGAGGATTATGCCACAGCTTCCACCTTGCAGCAACAGCAACCGCAGCTCGGACTAAGACTTCTCAAAGTGAAGCTCATTGCCAAACTTATCCAAGTGATCCAAGTGGTCATGGGGAATGTAAAGTCCAAGTTGCTTTGAGGGTTGGCCACGCATGGTCGGTGAGCGCTGCTCGCTACCTTGAAGCAGCATCCTGAGGACCTTTGCAGCGCATATGGCTGCTTGGCGTATTAGACTAGAGCGTACTGTCTTGTTAGTTGTTTGGTTGTTTATGTTCCTCACGATTCAGTTGGTCGTCTACATGATCTGATGGGTTGCAGGGCAAATAAGGCATTGTTTTCAGGTGGGCTAGTACCACTTTGTTTCCTGGATTACCAGGGTACCATTCATTCCGATTTGCAAGCTTCCTGCTGCCAGTCAGCCTAGGTTTGGCATGACACGTCTGAGACAACCTCCGAGTCAGGCGTCTCAGGTGGCGCTCGGCTGTGACGATGAGAACTTGTCGGTGCAACTTATGCCAGATTGCCAACCGCGTCCTTGTATTCTTGTGTGGCGTGTGTAGTTCAACTGACAAGTGATTGACGCTTGGGGCAGGGGTTGCCAACCACAGTTCGTGAGCATGGCATGTCAACATTCTAGTCTCTTCTTTCCACTTCCACAGTGGAGACGTTCGGCTTTGTCCAAGCACGTACGCGGTTCATTTCAACAGGCGCAGTTGTGTATGGAATCCACTGCAGTTGGAAGCAGAAGGCTGTGAGCCCAACTGTGCAAGTTTTGCTGGCTTTCCAGCAATGACTTCTTACACATGATGTCACGTCATGCTTCCTTTCTGCTTTGTGGAGGGGTCTTCACAGAACAACACTTCCAAGATCACCTGCAGCTTGTTGCCGAGGGGCGATGGAGCAATTTGCGCAACCTCCAGCATGCCAGGATCCACCGCTCAGCGATCTCGTGATGACCAGCTTCGGCAGGAGCGAGTAGCGCAAGTGCAGCAAAAGATCAAAGATGCTTGGCAATCAACATGGAGGAAAAAGTGGGACCATACTTCAATACCACAGTGCGACAGGCTGCAGAAGTCTGCGCGTCGCTCCACATGATAGTTATTTGGCCATGGCCCCACACGGGATAGAAATGATAGAAGGGTCAGTCTGCCCATTTAGCTCCAAAGGGCTGGATGCAGCCTAAATGGCTTGCGTGTGCGATCTTGCGGAATGTTGTCAACAGTCAAATGCCTTAAGTTGCCATCGCTCGTGGCTAAGGAGTTGACTCAAGCAGATCCCCTTCTGGGTGGTGATGAAGGACCCCCGCCGGAGATTGAGTGCCTTGGCGCTGTGTCTCCAAGCTACTGAAAGCGGCAATGGGGCGGGGTTTGATCCGAACTGTTGAACTCTTGTTGCGCCTCCCTGTCCAGCATGTAGCGCATTCACGAGCTTTTGGCATCGCGACACGGAACGGGAAAGGTACGGGTGGTCAATCGGAAGTGCAAACCACGAGACTTGACTGCAATGAGGACCTAGGTGCCCTGCTCGTGTCCTTTGTAGAGCATCCCTACAAGTCATGTCACACAATTTTGGCACGTCAGTAATGACAGCAACGCTGTGTCTCTCCATGAAGGAGCAGGGGCTGAGGGACAGCCTTCCATGCCAGCATTGTCAGGCATGGCTGAAGCAACTATGGGGCTTGCGTCATGTTCAAGCCCAGCATGCAGTTTTACTGGTCAACTTGGGTTTAGTGTGCGTTGTGCTTTTGCGCATGCCCGCGGAACGGCCCACGCTTACAAATATATGTCCAGAATCCGGCATGAGAACTTCTCAACCTTAAACGCCGATCTTTCCCATCAGCATCATGAGCATTATGAGCCAAGGAGAGTGGGAAGTGTACCCCGTGCATCCACTTCACCACAAAAGCTGGATGCAAGCACGGCGAAGCTTGCAGATTCTGTCATCTGGAGCATACGGAGGACCCTGCACGTTGAAATCAGTTCGATAGTTTGAGCTGCAAAAAGTTAGCGCTGACAACCGTGCACCTTGCAGGACGCAAGGAAAGGCAGGCATCGCCCCTGCAAGGCTACAAGAAATCAGTGCAAGCAGTTGCTATCTCAAATGAGTGACTTATACAAGGATGACCCAGAACAGTCGCTTGGCCTTGGCCGGGGGGGAAGACAAATCGGCGCACCGGAGCACTTTTGCTGCGTTATTGACTTGGCAAGGGTTGAACGAGCTTCCGCAAAAAGTTGTGTTGCTTGAAGTTCTTTGCTTTAGACATGGAGAGGCTTGATTGGCTGAGCGCTCGTGTTTGAGGTTGCTGCTCAGACGAGCATGTAGCATGAGTGCCGCCCAGGAAGCGCATCGCCTATCTGACCTTGGCAGACCAGAGCCCATATATGAAAAGTTACTTGGAGATCAGATGTGCATTGTCTCTGGCCTGTGGGGAGAGGCCATGAATCAAGTCATAGAGAGTCTGACGCTTTGCCTCCAGAAACCCCAGTGGCCCATGGTGTTCTGCTCAAGGCACGGAAATTCGCCGCGCCGTGCGTTGCATTTGCTGGCATTTTGGATTCGACACTCTCAGGCTTGTTGAAGAGCGTTCTGGACAACGAGGAAGCAGCTGCAACCCGCCTGTGGTTGTGCTGCTGGTGTGCTTTTGGTGTGCTTTTGCTTGGCCTTTGGTTTGCTTTTTCCTTGCCTTTGGTTTGCTTTTGGTTTATGTTTGGTTTGCCTTTGGTTTGCATTTGGTTTGCCTGCTCTTGGCCTACCTTTCCTCTGCCGAGAACCCCCCCAAAGTAAAGGATACCAGAAAACAACATTTCACGGCGTAGCACAAAAACAGAACTGACAAGTAGACAATACTGTATGTTATGGGATTGCCTTCGCCTAGCTTCCGCCGTAGGTCACAAGCCTACCATCCGCGAAAATGCCAGGCGAGCAGCGGCCCAAACAGCGGCCAACATATGGCCGCCTTTTCGGCAGTCAAGAAACATGAGCGCGAGATTCCCCCCCCCCCCCGGTCTTCCAACTCCCAAGCTCTAAGCACGTTCCATCATCCAGGTCATCCAGAGGTAAACCAAAGGCAAACCAAAAGCAAAACCACTGGCAAACCAAAAGCAAACCACAGGTAAACCGAAGGTATACCAAGACCAAACCAAAATAAATCCACAAGCAGACCAAAAGCAATCCAAGGAAAACCAAAAGCAAAACAAATGCTGACCAAACTCAAGCCATAAGCAAATCAAAGGCAATCCAACGGTAAACCAAAAGCAGATCAAAGGCAAGGCAAAGGTAAACCAAAAGTAAATCAACCTTAAGCCAACAGCAAACCAAAAGCAATGCAAAGGCAAACACTAAAGGTAAACCAACGGCAAACCAAAGGTAAACCAACGGTAAACCAAAGGTAAACCAGAACTAAACCAAAGGTAAACCAAAAGCAAACCATAAGCAAACCAGGTAACCAAAGGTAAACCTAAGGTAAACCAAAAGCAAACCAAAACCAAGCAGAACAAAAGCAAACTAAACGTAAACCAAAAGGAGACCAAAGGTTACCAAAAGCAAACCAAAGGCAAGCCAAAGGTAAACCAAAATCAGCCAAAAGCACAACAACAGCAAAACCACGGGCAAACCAAAGGCAAGGCAAAGGTAAACGAAAAGCAAACCAACCTTAAGCCAAAAGTAAGCTAAAGGCAAACCAGAATCAATCCAAAGATAAACGCAAGGTAAACCAAAAGCAGGCCAAAAGTTTGTTTTGGAAGATACTCTCCGGAAGTTAATTTGTCCACCAGAAAAGCCAGCGCAGGCACTTTCCGTTGTTTGCCGGACTGGTTATTCCCGGGATTCTTTTCATGAATTCACAAACTGAGGCGTCAGACGCGCCGCGCAGACCCGGCTTGCAGCAAGAAGGGAAAGGCTCGACTTCTGAAGGACCGAGTGGGAGGCAAAAAAGAGAAACGCGAAGACGCAAGATACCCCAGGGACATCAAAAGGAAGTTCTATGAGGGAGCCAAGGCCCAGAGTTTCTGCCTTGTTTGTTTGGCCCTGCTTGCAGCAGAGGCGTCTGAAGTCGAGCTTGTCCTAACGGGGCAGCTGTAGGAGGAGATGGCACTAACCATTTGTTTGTGAAGCAGGCAACTTTGCATTTTCAAAGTGACAACTGTTGACTGTAGGCCTTCATGCTGGCAAGGCTGCTTCGCAGATGCCACTGACATAGAGCTTGCGCATGTGTCAGGCCAATCAAGTTACAGTGCGGTTTGCAGACAGTCGTGATGAACAGTCATTGATGGTTAGATTCACAGGTGCGGTTTTGTCAAAAGAAAGAGCAGCATGGCTGGCTCACAGGAAGCAGGAGCAAGAAAAACTTGATATCGCTGTAGCGGCTCGTCCGGGCCTTGGCCGCAGCGGGGCAAGAAATATCAAATGGCAGCGCACAGTATTCATTTTGGGCGAAGGCGTGCTTTTATGTTGCGACTTCATTGGTCAAAGCTAGAACTACTCCGCGCCACCACGGCACACGCATCAAAAAGAAATGAATCTAGGATCAATGAAAGTTTCATTCGGGATCAAAAACCCATCATTCCAGACCATGTCAAGGACAAGGCAGTTTACAAGTTAGTATCCGGCGCACCCTGGAATAAAGGGCGGTTAGAAAGTCAGCACACAGCTGTTAGTAAGCTAGTAAGTTAGCAAGTTAGCGAGTAGCAAGTTAGTCACTGAGCAAATTAGCAAGTTACCGAGTTGAGTCAGCAAGTTAGCCAATTAGCCAGTTAGCAAGTTAGTAAGTTAGCAAGCTAGTAGTTACGCCAATTAGTAAGTGCACAAGGTAGGCTGGGGAGGAGACAAAGCTAGTGTGGATGAAAAAGCAGTTAGCGCGGTAGCAGTGTTACTACTACTACCACTACTACGACTACCATTCTTACTACTACTACTACTACTACTACTACTACTACTACTACTACTACTACTACTACTACTACTACTACTACTACTACTACTACTACTACTACTACTACTACTACTACTACTACTACTACTACTACTACTACTACTACTACTACTACTACTACTACTACTACTACTGCCACTACTACTACTACTACTACTACTGCTACTACTACTACTACCACTACCACAACTAGTACTACTACTACCTACTACCTGCTACCTACCACCTACTACCTACTACAACTGCTAACTTCTACTTCTACTCCAACTCATACTACCAGCACTGCCACTACAACTACTACTACCATTACTGCCTACTACTTACTACCTACTGTTATAAATACTACTACCATACTACTACTGCAATTACTGCCACTACAACTACTACTGCTACTGCTGCTACTACTACTACTTACTACTTAATTCTGCTATTTATTATTATTTTTATTACGATTACTAGTTGTACTATAGAAACTATTGCAATTACTACCACTATTACTACCACCACCACCACTACTACTACTACTGCTACTGCTGCGACTACTGCTACTACTACCACCACCACTACTTCAACTAGGCACACCGCACGTAGTTGCCCGTGTATATCATGCTTTTTTTCTTCGGAGTAGCTTGTCCAAGCTGCGATTACAGGGGGGACCGGAGAGCACTGTCTGTCGCGCCGAGCCACTGGGGAACGGCTGCGGGCAGTGGTCCAACTACTCCACGGCTAGTTCCACCACAACTGCTACTATTACGCCTACTAGTACTATTGCTCCTACTAGTACTACATTATTATTGCTACACTACCACGACTACGACTCCTACTACTGCTACCACTACTAGTACGACTACTGCCAGTACTGCTATTGCTACTACTACTCTTACCAGTAGAGCCGGCACCGCCAATGGGCGCTCGTTTCAATCGTTCAGTCTATAGTTCTCTGTGTCTTCCCATTGCTCCTGTCCCACGAGCCTTTGTTCAGAGTCTCCCCAAAGTCAAAACTCGTGTTGGCTCCAACCGACCCGGTTGTGATGAGGCAACAAATACTTTTGCCACCGCACATTTTTCGGATTAACCAGCCCTCCCTCAAATTCAACAGGGCCTCCAAGACGCATACCGTTCCTCCGGGTCTCCTTAACCTGTGAAGAAATCATTGCTGGCCAACGCCGACCTGCCAATGCTCAATTACTGGATCCTCGTCAAAAAGCCATCTATATGCCTATCTACATGTTTGTCGTTCTGTTTTCTCTATCTATTTGTGTTTTGTTTCTGGCTATCTATCTATCTGTCCATCTATGTCCCTCCCTTGATCTGTCGAACTGGCTTCTATCTCTTTCTTTCTTTCTTTCTTTCTTGCTTTCTTTATTTATTTACTTCTTGCTTTCTTGCTTGCTTTTTGTCTTTCCTTCGACCCTGCGAAAGTTCAGCGACTGCCACAAAATCTGCACGTGACCTCACAAAAGCATCGCGCCTGCCACGAAATCTGCACCTTGCCTTGTGAAAGTGCTGCGCTTGGCGCGAAATCTGTACCTGACCTTGCGAAATGTTGCGCCTGCCATGAAATCTGTACCTGACCTTGCGAGACGTTGCACCTGCCACAAAATCTGTACCTGACCTTGCGAAAGTGCTACGCCTGGCACGGACGCGCAAGGTGGCGTATGCAGATTCCGATGGGCCCGTGACCGACCCCGTCGTCGCGACACAGGTAGCTTTCAGCCTGCCAGAGACGCCAAAACATGCAGAGGGTCACTCTTTTTCTGTTTTTCTACTCCCCCGCCACGCGTGCAGGCAAGTTTCCTCGCACGCGTTCATCTTTCTTTAATCTCATCTTGGAGCAACTTTCATTGAGTTAAAACGGGAGTTCCTTCCAAACTTCCTGTACTACTACTACTACTACTACTACTACTACTACTACTACTACTACTACTACTACTACTACTTCTACTTCTACTTCTACTACTACTACTACTACTACTACTACCACTACCACCAGTAGAGCCGGCAGAGCCGGTGGGCGGAAGTTTCTAGAGCGAGAAGAGTGCCTATAGGAAGAGCTTGACTTGTTTTTTTTGATGCGCTCATCTTTTTCCTGATTTCTTTCTTTCTTTCTTTCTTTCTTTCTTTCTTTCTTTCTTTCTTTCTTTCTTTCTTTCTTTCTTTCCTTCTTTCCTTCTTTCCTTCTTTCCTTCTTTCCTTCTTTCCTTCCTTCCTTCCTTCCTTCCTTCTTTCCGTCTGTCCTTCTTTCCTTCTTTCCTTCTTTCCTTCTTTCGTTCTTTCCTTCTTTCCTTGTGAATTTATTTCGTTCTTTATCTTTCTCTTGCTCTCTTTCTTTCTTTCTCTGTATTTATGATTTCGTTATTCCTTTCTTTCTCTTTAGTTCTTCTTTCTATATGTCTTTCTTTCTTTCTTTCTTTCTTTCTTTTATTTATTTTATTTCTTTTCTTTCTTTCTTTGATTCTTTTTCTTTCTTTCTTTCTTTCTTTCTTTCTTTCTTTCTTTCTTTCTTTCTTTCTTTCCTTCTTTGTCTCTCTCTCTCTCTCTCCCTCTCTCTCTCTCCATTTGATCTATCTATCTATCTATCGCCTGACCTTGCAAAAATTCTGCCACGAAATCTGTACTCGGCCTTGCGGAAACATATCGTTGCAAAACTGCCGACGATCCTTAGATCTTCTGAGGATCCTTGGTGTCCCGTTCCGTAGACGTAGAGACCACTCTCAGCGTGCTTGAGCAGTGGGAACGACTGCTTGCTCCGGACAACGGGCAACTTTCTCAAGATGAGCCCCAGCTCGGACAGCTGATTGAGAGAGTGCGACGTCTTGGGCACCTACATGAAGGTGGACTTCAGCATCACCCTCATCAAGGAGCAACTTGAAATCCCGGGCCCTTCTACTTTCGAGGTGCTGATCGCGATGGTGGTTTTGGGGGACCCGGTATGGGAATGGGAGGTGGTCCTGGTTTTGCAGAAGGAGACGACCCATGGTCGGCGTATCTTCAGCAACAACATCAGAACCATCCTCAAGCAGTACCAGCACGAAGTCATCAGCCCAACGTCATGATGACCCCGGCACTTCAACGTGATGATCAATTCAGCAGCGGCACGGCCGAGGTGGACTTCTGCCCACCGACCAGGAATCTCCTTCCTTCATGACCATGGAGAATCAGCAGATGATTCCCGCGGCTCTTCCTGGCATCACCTACGGCTACATGACCGCAAGAACTGCGACCTCGGCGGCCTCAAACAGCGGAAGCGCTGCAACCGTCCCAGAGATCGAGCAGCTGCAGAGCGTCTCGCAGGCCTCGAGTGTGGTTTCTTCGTCCAACTCATCAAGGAGACGGAAGATCGTTGAGCCAGACGCTGCGGGATCGCCGGTGGCAATCTCGTCACCACCGAAGAGACAGATGGATTCGCCACCAAGCTGGTATCCGAGCGTTTTTTCTGGAGCCAACGATCAGGTCGCGGATGAGAAACTGAGCAGATCGGAACTGTGCCGTTAGTGGGGACGAAGAAGCACGGCAACGCACGGTGGATGGCCTGACATCTATCCTGTTGGGCATACAGAATCGGCATAGACAAGCTGGAGGAGAAGGATGTGAAGCTCATACGTTTCCCTGGTGGGAAATGGACTGCACTCCGGCGGAGGTGATCATTGCGGGCGATACGTCCTATCACACGAAGACAAGAATGCAAGGAAATAGAGTTGGTCTTTTAGTGGACTCCGGAGCCCATGACAATTACATAGGAGGTGACTCTTCGGCAAGACGGCGGCCACTTGCCAGAAAGCTGTCTGTGGAAGGAAGGAGCTCAACAAGCTCATAAGGCTGCACCGGTACCCATCTTTCTTGGGATGAGTTCGACACGAGGCATACCGGACACTTTACCAGTCCGGTGATTCCCAACTCATCGCTGCCGCCACTGCTTGGCATGAAGAGTTTGATGAAGAGGTCCACCATCCTGGATATGGGTTCTGCACGACTCATCCTACTCTGCTGGAGGAGTGAGGCTCATGCCATCCCCGGGAACGTTGATCCTGCCATTGTCACTCTCGCAAATTTTCACCTGATCTTGCCGGTCGACCTGTGGAATGATGATCATCGACCTGGGCAGCGAGTGGCCAGGAACGACCTGGACTTTGTGATGGAGTGTCGGAATACGGCGGACTCTCCGAAGAGCGCATCCTCTTCGCAAAGACCGGCAACCCCAGCGAGGAGCTCAACTCCATCGAGGCTTTCTGGAAGGTCATTGTTTTCGGAGCAGACGTTTTGGACCATGTTGTCGACTCCGGGAACTTCGGCAGGCTATCTTTTGGAAAGGACATTTCCGGTGGATGCGAGCAGTCCGGCAACAAAACAGGAGGTGTGACAGAGTGCCGCGGCCAAGCGGCAATCGTGCATGCAGAATTCAGAGCAAGAGGGTCAGAGTGTGAAGCCTGTCAGCAA